AATGCGAAGTTGAAGCAAACTTTAAAAGAACATGAAATCAGAATCACGAATTTAGAACAAAGAGATAAAGAAAAAACCGTTATTAATGATTCACAACAGGCAGAGGTAAGAGACGAATTCTCGGGTTTACAGCTCATCTCTGATTCATCTACAGTAAATTTCAATGATACTGTTGTATCTTCAGAAGATAAAATGGTCAATGAATTTCTAGACAAAAAAGAAAAGGAAAGGGTTAGTAATATGATAAGAGAGAAAAATAAGGAAAAGAAGCTTCAACGTGAGCTAACCGAAAACCGATCCCAGAACTTAATTTCAGATATTTCTATATCTCCAGAGCAAAATCATGTAAACGAAAAAGAAAAATATCAAGAAATTTCCGTCACGAGCTTACGTGACGATCGACAAAACGAAAAATATCAAGAAATTTCCGTCACGAGCTTACGTGACGATCGGCAAAATGAAACTAAGGAACCTGATGAAATTGAACCCATTAAAAGTCAGTATATAGAACAAGGATTAATAAAAGAATTGCTTAGTAGCAACCCTATTATATCGTCAGTTATAATTCCAGAATATCGAACATTTCAAATTACAACACAAAGCTTAGTCGGTTTATTTCATTATGCGTTATGTTCTAGACATGAAGAAATCTTAGCATGGTATAATTACTCTGATAATTTTGAAAATCGAGTTATCGAAATTTGCCGTGAATTAAGAGTTACAGATAAAATTGCTAAAACTCAATTATACAAGGAAATGTTAGAGCACCTACCTGGTATTACATCAGGAAACTTGCGTATGAAAACTTTAAGAGCTAAAAAAATTCGTATGCTATTTGGGGAGAACGGAGTTGGAATAGATAAAATCAAACAAGTTACCTACAGTATATATGCTATCTCTACTCTTACTAATAGCCAAATTCAAAACGTTATCAAAGAATGTAACTTCAGCAAAACCTTTATCAGAAACCAGCATGAATCATGAAAATCAAACTAGTGCAGAGATAAGTATACCTACTGAATTTCAAGTTTCCGATTCATCAAGCTCTGAACCATCTCAAGAAAATGATCAAGATGAGTCAAAGACTCGAAGCTCTGCTTCCTCGGAATTACCAGAAGCTGAGGTAAATGCATCTACTGAAGAAACAGAGTCTCGAGTCCCTAACTCTGCTAATTCAGAAACAGGGGTAAGTATGCCACCTATATCCCAGGTAAATATATCTAACAAATCCCGACTTCCAATTTCTATTTTACCTAACAATCCTGAGGAAAAACGAAAACATGTAATAAAAATGGTATTGGAACGATTCACTAATTTATCTTTTAAACGTAGTAGTAAATACACTGATCATTTCAATTGTACAGAAACATGTCCCGTATGTAATGAAGAGCATAAAGACGATAATGTCAGTGGTGAATGGGATAGTGGTGATTATTATGGTGAAGAAACTTATCGTCTTTATTGTAGGAAGGTATATCAGAATAGAATCCAAGTGGTAACTGTGAAAAAAGAGAATATAAAAGAAAAGCGGAAGGACCTTATCAACAAGGTATTGAAGCAGTATCCGGGTATATCTTTGAGTTGTAGTACTAATTCTAATGATATATATCATTGCAACACGTCTAAATCCTCATGTCCGTCTTGCAATTTAAATCATAAGGAAAATATCGTAGGCCAGTATGAGAGGGGATCTTATAATATCAGATGCATGTTTAATTATACAGGTGGAATTGATGTAACAGCATAAATAATCACGTAAAAATAAAAAATGGCGAGCCCATAGGACCCCCTCTTTATTTCGTAAAAAAATTGCTGAAACGGTATACAAATAAATAAATCCAAAATACATGATTGCGTAAAAAAATTCTCGATCATATATACATTGATAACAATAAATAAATTCACGAAATATACATGCAAAAGTAAACGCGATTATATATGCAAATCGGCCACCAGAGCCAGTTTTATTAATAATTGACTATATTGCAAGATTAATGACATTACATGCTAAAATAGCAAAATATTGAACTATAACACTCCTGTTTTGTTCGATTTACACTCCTTACCAACCAACATACTGTACATGCTATCACATATCCATTAAATTTTATAATAAATAATCTTATTACTCCTCCATTTTGTATACCATCGGATCCATGCGTTTAATTATCTCCATTTTTTCTTGATTTCCTCCCATCGCGGGATCAACCCAAGCAGACAATAAATGCTTAAGGCTATTTGTGAGATCGTTAACCATGACCGTTGATGAAGTTGCGGAAACAGGTGTAAACTGCCCTAGGCAATTATAAATGTTCGGAGATAATCCAAATAATCCAAGTGAAATCTGAAAATGCTCTCGGAATTCTTTGATTTCGGCACTTGAAGCACTCGAATCTTCCTTATTTTCAACTCTAATCTTCTTGATGAATTCCTTTCTTGTTTCTTTAGCATCCGTTTTATAATCTTCTAATACCTCCGCAATTTTACGTTTGCACGAAGCCATATTACGTGTTTTAGTAGACTCTAACTTTGGAACGTCGGATGACTCTGATTTTGCACCTAATTGCAAATACAATGACAAAAATGGCATATGCGATAGATCCTCAATACCTATATAAGCCGGCGATAGCATAGTAGTTGCAGCATAATTCTTTATTTTTGTAAAATGAATATTGAGAGTAAGGGACCGGCCGATTAAACGATATAACTGATAGAAAAGCTTTATTTTAGATTATGATATACGTATATCACCCAGGCCATGTGTGTCATAATGATAAAATAACCTGAAGGATTTTGATTACAATAAGCAAACCTGTTTCGTGATTTGGGAGGGATTTGTAATTTTGCCTGCAAGTTACATCTGGAAAATATGATTCTGATTCTTTTATTAGTAATTCATCAATCGATCATCAAAGCGACATAGAAGTATAGCTGTATAGGTCCCCCACTCCACGTCGGAATTGATCAATTTTCCTAAAAATTTTAAAAAATTCCCAGCTGATAATTTTGCTAGTCCAGCTCCGATGCATTACGACCCGGAATTTTTGGGGTTGCCCCGTAAAAATCTCACGTGTAGATTTCATAAAAATTTTGATTTATCAGAAAAAATTTTTCCACACTCAAACTATGCAAATTTTGGTTTTTAATTTATCGATATTTTTTTTCCAAATCCACATTGATTGGTTCAATAATTGTCACGGATCATGGTGAAATCGGATCATCGTGAAATTTGGGGGTCTCAATTTGAAAATATAAGCCCCTATGTTTCATCAATATTTACATCCCAGCAGATTTATTCAAATGTTTTATTCTATCTTTGTTAACTCTATACATTATTCTATCATTAGAACCATCCTAATTAGCAGATTTCTGATGATAAGTAAATACTTACTATTCATCTTTTTTAATTTCTTTGCAATAACGACTCGACAATGTTCAAATGCATCCTTAACTCTGATTTCTTTATGCTAATATTATACATTCCAACGACATTCCTACTCTCAGCACATTCGAATGTTTTAATATCAACCCATTCTATTGAAATAAACAAAATCCCGATCATGCACGTTCTTTTCCACTCAAATTTCTTTACCACAACAGCTCCAATATTATTTATACCTATAGCGTTCTAGATCTTAATAGATTTTTGGTAATGTTCGAATTCCTTATATTCGTCTTTTTCAATTCTAATTTCATGTTAACATTAAATATTCCATCCATATCACCCTTTCTCTTTTCAACTCAAATTCCATATTGATAACAATAATTAGTATTAAATGGTCATCTATATCGCTCATTCTTTAATCATATAGAAACGTCTTATATTCATTCTTTTCTACCCTAATTTCTCCTTGAAGACAATATCTGAGACTGTTTATA